TATGAAAGTTGTAGGCCTATGTCTTACCTTTCCATCCATATAAATTGGACCTAAATCTGAGATCTGTAGCTCCAGATATGACCCAATTACCGAACAGTGTTCCGGTTTGGATTGCACCGACATCTCTTCTCTAAGTTTGACCATCTCTTTATCCATGCAATTTAAGTTCTTCAAGTCATGAATCAATCCTTTCATTTATGTGATAGATCTGCATTAAAAATAGACATTTACCATAAATTATAGGTATCTTATATTATTAGATACATTATTATAAAACATATTTTAGTTAAGGAGTTATTGATACTTCAAGTGTAAAATGATGATATAAAACCATGATAAAAATGCACTTTTAAGTACTAATCATTAACACTCTAGTCTCTCTTTCAAAAGTTATTATATTTCCAAATAATTTATTCTTTGATCCTATAAAGTTTCATCAAATCATGGGTTTTCTTCAGCATCTTACCTTCACCCACCTAAATATTTGTTTCCTTGTTAATAGAGTCTATCATTTTATGCATGGTCCTACAGACTCTCATTGGGTCACTATTAAGTGTATTTTATGTTACATTCAAGGTACAACATCTAATGGTTTCCATATCATTCACGATTCCTCTTTTGTTTTCCATGGTTTTACTACTGCAAATTGGCTAGTAGTATTGATGATCACAAGTCTACCGGTGGCTACCTTATCTTTTTTTATTAGAAACCAATTTCATGAAAATCCAATAAACAACGCTCAATTGCTCGCTCATCTATTGAGGCAAAGTAGAAAGCCTTAGCAGATGGTACTGCTGAGGTCATTTAGCTTCAATATTTGTTAACAGATTTGCAAGTTCCCTCTATATCGGCTCCTACCATTTGGTGTGATAACCTTGGCGTGACCTATCTCTCCATAAATCATATTTTCCATGTTTGTACTAAGAATGTTGAGGTAGATTATCACTTTGTCTATGACCGAGTTGTGAAGAAAGAGATTTAGATTTGTTTTATCCCCTCTTAAGATCAACTTACTGATGTCTTCACCAAATCGCTTTCTACTACATCCTTTACTGCTTTTTTATTCAAGTTTCGGGTCAATTCTCCACCCTTAGCTTAAAAGGGCATAATATTATAGAATGTATAGCATGTATATATTTGAATAGGAAATTAATGTAGGATTATTCCAGTATTATAATCCCAACAATTACTATCATGTTCTGCCACATATATATAAATAGTAAAGGTTAACTAAGGTATAACTAATTAGTACTTAAAAGTATATTTTTATCAAGGTTTTATATCATCATTTTACATTTGAAGTATCAATAACTCCTTAGTTAAAGCATGTTTTATAATAATATATCGAATAATATAAAATATCTTTAATTTATGGTAAATATTTATCTTAAATGTAGGTCTATCATATAAATCAAAGGATTGATTGATGAGTTTAATTATAGAAATTAAGAAGACACAGAGAAGGTTAAGCTTAGAAAAGAGATGCTGATTCAATCCAAACTAGAACACCATTCGGCTATTGGATCATAACTGAAGTTGTAAAACTTAGATTTAGGTCTGTTTTATATGGATGGAAAGATAAGATATAAGCCCAAAACTTTCATGAAGAGTCCAAGATTTAAAAAAGATGTTTTCAAGTTCAAATTGTAGCAATAATGAAGAAGTTCGAATCTATCCTACAGCCTAGACACTATTCAATGTTCAGCCTATATCTCAAGTTCTAGAAGTCCAAATGCACCATATTATTTTTTGTTGGAAAGCTAAGATAATTTTCTAGAACTTTTATGACAACAATCTGTTCAAATTCTGATGTTAGAAATGATGTTTTTGGCAAACAAAAAGATTAGGATTGTCACCAAGTCAAGAGTTAGCCACCTACTCAATAATTAGTCAACAAATCAATAGTTCTAAATTTTAGCCTATAAAAGGAGGCATTTGCATGCATTTAGACATCTTGGTTTTTAGATCAAGATCATGCTTTTTATTTCTTTCTTTATATTTTTATAATGTTTAAGTTTTATTTCATGTTATATTTTTCTTAATCTCTTGTTTTTGCTTTTTATTTTCTTAACTATACTTATGTTCTTATGTTGTTTATTTATGTTTCTCTTATTCATTATGTTTAGCTAAGTTTATTATGTCAAGGTGAAAAGGTGTTACTAATGGTGTTAAGATAAGTATAATATAAACTCAATATGGACTTCAATGTTTATATCCTAAACAACTTGCTATTAACATGTCTTATTATTTTTATCTTATTAATTATTAATACCTTGTTTGTTAAATGGTTAATCTAGATTTGTGTTGTATAACACTTGGTACAACAAATGCTTGGCACTTTCATAGCCAACCGTATGGTATAACCTACAAATATACTATGAAAAGAACTTGATTTGTTGTTAGCATCATGAATTCCTGATAATATTTAAAATTTTAGTGTTACTTAAATAAGATAATTAATATGATCATATTAATAATTTATAATGAGCTATTAAAGATAAATCATCATATTGGAACCTCATTTGTATGTGGTTTCCAGTTGAGTAATAAAAAGAGTTTATATTATACTTATTTGAAATACCATTAGTATATCCTCTAATCTTGATATTTGTTTTTATCATTGTTTAATCATCACATTAATCTTACATCTCAAAGTCCTTTTTAACTTATTATTATAATTATTATTATTATTATTTGTAATTTATATAGTTCACCTCTAGTTTTACTGAGTTATTTATTACTTCAACACTCCTACACTTAAGAGAAGACATCAATCTTTTGGTTGCATCAATAACCTAAATCATTCTATTATTATTAACTATTAAGAACAAGTTTATATGAAGATCATTAACAAGCATGAAAAATTAAATGAAAAAAATCAATCAACAAGTCCAAGATTTATTTTAGTACAAATTATATAAATCTTTATATCTAACTTGATAACATAAATTTAAATGAATTTACACACTTCACATTGCATGTATTATAGCATCAATTTCTTTTTTCAACTTTTCAATTTTTGGTTCTCTCAGTATAATAGTACCTGGATAGGTGATCTATGTTACGCGTTGCGGCCGGATCAATTTTTTTCAAACCTAAAAAAAGAATGTTCAAGCAGCACCAACATTTTTAAAGATGCATGAAAAATCATACACTTAATTTAGTGACTTAACTGGGTTCAATTAGCTTGTTTAATTTAATAATATGATAAAAAAAACATAAACAATAAATAAAGGAATAAAAAATAGCAACAATTAAATATAAAAAATCAGCTCTCAATATCATAATCTAAAGAAGAAGAAGAAAGCTTGTTGGAGACTCATTGTCGCTTTGTCATTAACATCACTCCACCACCAAAAAGATCACATCGTGATAGTTTTTAACATCGTGGTAAAAGGTCACATTATGAGTCTACAACATCCAAAAAAACGCTGCATGCTCTCCTAAAGTAACTACCCTAAAAGCAAACCAAATAAAATATAATGAAGCGAGCATCTAATGTTTTTATCTAATCAAATAGTTTCATTTAATTAAAAAAAAAAAGGTTATTTGAAAAGGGATAAATTCAACAAAGAATGAAAAATTAAATAAAATAACAACAAAAACTTAGGTCATTCTTAAAATTAGTGAAAAATCTTATATAAAGAAAATAATAAAAAGATAATAGAGCTCAATATTCAATGAAATAAATGCTTAAACATGAAACTGGAAAAAAAAAATGAGCTTTAAAAAAGGAAAAAAACAAGCAAACTTAGATGAATCTCTTAAATCTAGATTAATCTCTCAAACTTAAGACCCATTAAATCCTAGAACCAATTTAATAGTAAAAGATGAAACTGAAAAAAATCAATTTAAAATTTTTTTCAAAATAAAAAAATAGCAATAAAAAAATAAAAATCAAATGTAATAGGAAAAAACCAAAAAAATGAAATCATAAAAAATAAATTTTAAAAAGATCTCAAATAAAACAAATAGCCATTAAAAAATACAAACAAAATCTAACATATGAGAAAATTGAAGGATGCAATAAAAAAATTCATTTTTATAAATAATTTCATATAAAAAATAATCAAGAGAACATGGACTAAATTAAAAGAAAAAAACAAATTAAAATATTGATTTTAAGATTTATAGGGTCAATGTGAAAATTAAAGAGGAGAAAAAAAAATAAACAAAAGGTCATTGACGCCATATTGAAAGTTCATTGACCACATATGTTGTCTAGTAATTATAAAGGCACCAAGACAAATCAAACGTCTCTTTGAAAGTCCAAGTTTGGTTGTTTAGTGGCTTCTTATGCAGCACCCGAAAAGCATGTAATGTCATCAATTTTTTTTAATAATATTTATGTTTATTAAATTACTAAATAGCTCTTAAGTAAATTTGATTGTGATAAGAAAATTAAAATGAAAAGATAAAAATATTCGTTGACACTAGCTAAAGAAATTTTAATTTTAAAGATATTTTAATTATTTTAAATATGTTTAATTTTTTTTATTTTAAAGCACATGAATACTAGTTTTTTTAAAAAAAAAAAATTAGATATTTTATTATGCCGATAAAATATTAAAAAATGAATTTTTCTTTAATCAATGTAATAATAACAAATAAATTATATGAAAAAGATTTTATTACTTTCAATAACAAATTAATTAATTTTGTTTAGAAAACATAATAATATCAGTTTCAAACTACACTACTCTATTCTAGGATCAGTTCTTTAATTTTAATTTTAATAAAGCATAAATTAGGACAGCACCATCAGATTTCAGGTAAGGGTCTAGTGATTTTAGGAGTGATATGTATCCCTCATCCTCGTAATGCCTGGGGAAAATTGCCATTAAAGCCCAAGATTGACAAAGTTCATTAGAAGAAAAAGGTTGCATGAGCCACTTAAAACCCCTGAAAGAAGTCATCCCCAATCCTCAAGTATTGTCGCCTCCAATTCTCAATTTCTTGAAGCAAACCAGTCTAAAGAAAACCAAGTAACCACCCTCTCCATGGATGATAATCCAAGAAAAAGAGCATCAAGTTCTCAAATTCCTATTGTCATTGCAAGCAGTGAATGTCTAATGAATAAGCTTGCATCCTGTTTGATAATGGACATACTATCAAGATTGCCCATCAAGACCATCTTGAATTGCCGGTGTGTTTGCAAGACTTGGCTTCACTACATCTCAGATTCTTTCTTTGCCAAACTCCATCTTGAAAAATCACCCACCAGCTTGCTATTGAAACCATATCCAACAATCCTGAACCAAGAAACCTCCAGCTTGTCCAAATAACTGGAAAGCCTCTTGGTTTGCGCTTCCGTGTTGTTGAAGAAATGAAGTTTGTTCCCGGAATCAACTTACCCTATAATGATTTCTTGATCGAAAACTCTTGTAATGGGCTTCTTTGCATTTCTGAAACATTCCAAGACGGCTCCCATGATGACATTTATTTGTGCAATCCAATTTTGGGGGAGTATATCTCCATTCCACTCGCTGCTGGTCAAGGTACAAGGCAAAAGAGTAGTTTCAGATTGGGATACAGTGCCATTACTAAAGAATACAAAGTGTTGCACACTTTTTGTTCGAAGACAGGGTCTTATTACCAACCTGAGGCTGATATATACACGATTGGTACAGGGAAATGGAGTAGTAGTCAAAAAGCTCTTCTTAATCTTGATATGTTCATTGTGGATAGTTTTGTGTGCGGATCAATCCATTGGGAACTTCGTGATGAAGACGAATGTGTGAATGGTATAGGTTCTTTTGACTTTGAGAATGAGCAAATTAGCCAATTGTCCTTACCGCCTCGCTATAATGAGGACCATGTCACTTTGACAGCTTTTGAAGGTTGCCTGGGCGTGTGTTTCTTCCACACCTATTCTGATCCTCAATATGAATATGGGTTATGAAGGACTATGGGATCAAGGAGTCTTGGACCAAACAATTTACCGTCAAGAACCTAGGTTTTGCCAAGCTTTATGAGCCCTTGATTTTCTTGAACAATGGATTAATCTTGATGATGCAATATCTTGAATTTGTCGTTTGTTATGACACTAGAAGGAAATTCATGGAAGTTATTAGAATATGGCAGACTCAGGGAAACAATTATGCAAGTGCATACAAACCATCCTTTGTTTCGCTGAAGGATGTAGGAAAAGGAGAACAGTTGAAGATGTCAAGGTAATGTGTTATCCACTCATGGTATTGCTTTAGTTGATTTCCTGTGATATATGTTTCATGTTCCTTGCATTTAAGATTAGTTTTTGCGTCCTACTCTTGACTTACACTTAAGTTGCTAATATAGGAAGGAGCAATTCCCACTTGAAGTTCTTGTTCTTCAAGAACACAATCAGGTCTTCGCATTGTTAGGCAGATGCATGTTATCATGCTTTGAGGTCACATTATGTAGGATCCCCTGTGTTAGAACAAGTAGGATGTTGCTTGTATGCAAGGCTTTAAATGATTTTGATAGCTGTATTTATTAGTTGCTGCTTTTTTTCCCTTGATTGGTTCTATACTTTTGACAGAAGAGGGTTCACATGTGTATTTGTTGACATTTTGGAATGCACGTGTTAAGATTTTCGGTCCAAACAGTTCACATAGATTACATCTGTTACTAATCACTGGCATTCTGACTATTTGCTCACACGCAGGAAGCAAGCTGGTAGAGAAGATGACAAATCCTCCTCTAAAGGAGCATACAACTGCACCAGTCATGATCAACTTTATGAGAGCATTCCTCCACGGCACTAAGCTCTTCTGATTTTCAAGTTCTGTTGCGTGATTTTACATGATATGCTCTTTGTTGTTGATTGCGAATCCATGACCATGTAAATAACTTTTTAGCGGGAACATATATGATGATTAAGATTGTGCAAGAAGTCTCCGATAAACTTGCTATTCAAAGTCCAAACAATTACTGTATTAGAAACACGTAATAACTATACAATGACTATAAATTGGAGGTTAAGGTGCTCGAAACTCTTGAAGTGTTTGGGCATAACAAGTGTGAATTCTATCGAAAAGTTTGATGATACAGAGGATGAGAAATAACACAAGACATTTGCTGAAGGAATCTATAATTACAAATGGTTCAGTCATTTGTATCGTTTTACCTTTTATTGCAAGTTCATGACCATAAAACAAATTTCAGCAGGACAAACCTATAGAATTCAGTAATGAGTTTCACGTAATTCATTCATGTTAAAAATACAAGCAGAAGGCTTCTTTATAGTCATTTGTACAGGTTTCGCCTCCCTCTAGAATAGTCGATACATAATAAACATGGAATATATCTTAACAACTAAAAGTTCTAATCACAACTCCTTAGAAGATAATGATAATATGCTACATAACACAATTAAAAAATTAATATCTTTTTCCAAGTACAGGAGTGTTAAAATAATAAATAACCTAACAAGACCGGAGTTAAACCACAGGGAGGTTAATTGTATAAATTATAAATAATAACAATAACAACAACAACAATAATAGTAATAGTAATAGTAATAGTAATA